TGGTTATTATTATTATTAAGGGTGATGGTTTCGCTCCCCTAAGCAAACAGTGTGGTAGATGCACTGGACGGTAGAATTCTACTCTCGGCCGCAGTTCAGCACGCGAAAGCCCAATCCTTCTTTAATACAGGACCAGGTATAATAAAAAGTATACAGACTGGGCAATACAAAAGAAGGGAAATATGAATAAAAAACAAGGTTTATAAAAGTAGTAAAAACAGAAATAATAATTTATTAGGGGGTTTTGGCAGATTTGCTTCATTTAGTTGACCCAATTGGGAAAACGCTCGCGGCCTCGGCGGGAGTCGAACCCGCACAGCAGGGAAGGCTTTTGTGCGGCCAATGCTCTACCAATTGAGCTACCGCCGACGCCGCGGGTTTTTTCACACTTAGGTCAACTAAAATAATTATTTAAACAATCTAATGTTTGTCAACAAAAAACGCGCCGGAATTTAAATGTGCAATTTTACAAATATTGGGAAATAAATACATTAAAAATTAACTAACTAAGACTCAAATCAACTAACTAAAAAACGTAAACTAAAGCAAGCTAAACTCACCAAACTAAAAAATAATCGAAACCTAAAATAATATTAGTAAACATAATGATCGGAAAACGAAACTGGAAACTGAACTTAAATATGAGGAAGTTAAATAAAGCAAATAAAATAAACTAACGTAAATTTATTGCGCGTGTAAATCGAAGATGTGCGCGGCGCTTAGCGCTGCGAACTATACTAATCTAATTCTAGAACGGTAAGTTGGAACGCAGGTAAGTTAAAGTAGACAACCTCCTAACCCCCAAATGTTTTTTCAGGAATATCAAGAAACCCAATAAACTATAAAGTATAAGAAAGTCCAATTTGTCACACGCAATAAACTACAAGTAAATAAGAAATGTAAGTAAACTTCTGTGTTTATTTATGGCGCGCTATATCGTTGCGAAAACATTAGATCATTTAAACAATTCCTGGCACCCAAAGTAGGATTCCACCCGCTGGACCAACAGGGGGACTAGACCGGGGTACGGCAGGCGTCAATCGGGTTGCACTCCTATATCTAATGCCGAATAGGCCGTCTATTCGAGCTCTCCACAAGGAAGCTGTCGCCTCGTCTCTCTCTGCTCTACCCGCTGATGGCTCTGCCAT